GCAAATAATTAGTTTTAATTAGTTTGGAATATTTTCTGTTATTAACTAATCTAGGGTTTTCACAGTCCTCAAAAATCTTGGAAAGTGGTAAGGAAGCTTTCCAGGCCTTGATTTTACAATAAAGTTTTAGAAAACCATTGAAAAAAACGTTTTCAAATAGTAATGCATACCAAAGTTATAGTGCTAGTATTTATTTCCTTTTTAACATTTAAATCATAGTTTTATTGTATGAAATGTATTATTTTTGCTTACTCGTATACACTACATACTAACCTAGATTATTAGATGCTTGTGACATCATACATATTTACCTGCAGCCATAAAATTCCTATATCCTGAAGTATATACATTTAAGTTGCATATTATGGTGTTTTGTAACAAATATAGCACAGTTAATTGAATTGAAAATAAAGAATAAAAAAGTGCTTGTGTTTATTTATACAGTGTCATATTTAGCACATCAGAAAACTTAGAATTGATAACTTCATGGTTGTAGTATGACCAAATATGTGGCTGAGTATGTGAAGAAAGTTGTAATATTGGTTCTAACATTTTTCTGCATCCTTCATAAAGTTGTATCACATCAGGTGCAAAAAAAAACATTCTAAGAACTTATGAGTTAAAGCAAAGAATAATATTTCAACCACAATAAATCTGTCACATCTTGTGTTGATAAGGCTTATCACTCAATATCTGAGCTCATCAGGCCAATTGGGATACTTTAATGTGAGGCCTATCACTCAATATCTGGTCTCATCAAGCCAGTTGGGATACTTTAATGTAAGGCCTATCACTCAATATCTGGGTTCATCAGGGCAGTTGAGATACTTTAATCTAAGGCCTATCACTTAATACTCGGGCTCATCAGGCCAGTTGGGATACTTTAATGTAAGGCCTATCACTAAATACCTGGGCTCATCAGACCAATTGGGATACTTTAATGCACACCATTTTTCTAATATCAGTAAAACTTGTGAAAATTAAAAGTGGGTGTTAGGTTATTCTTATAATTATAGAAGTAATACAGAGGTCAAATTTAATTTTTGAATTTCTGCTTTCAGTGGTTTTCTTAATTTAGTTTATTTAATTGTCTTTTTTTTTATCTCACCTTGTCAGTTAAATATGAGTTTATAGTAAAGAACTAAAGAAAGGTGTTTCTTATTCAGTCATATTAATATTGTACAAGTCAACATGATAAATATTTCCATTCATAAAGCAAAGAACTGTTTTGACTGATCAATCATTTTTTATCCTGTTATCTATGTACTGCATATAGACTATGTAGGTAACATTTTTATTCAAAATAACGTGATAAGTATTAAATTGTACATATTTTTAATTTTGTAGGTAAAACGCAACAGTTATACAGACATGATCTCCTGATTCTTCATGGAAGACACACCAACAGGTTTTCTATGTCAATGAATAAAATACCTGAGAGGCTTGTTCCTAGGTCAGTGTGAGCAATATACATACTTATATTGCATGATAAGGAGCTACAGAAAAATTACTGTTATCATTGTAGATGATTTCCATGCCTTTTACTGTCTGTTCAGTATACTATTAAGCTTTTATAGTCAACATGTATATAAGAATCATTATAAGGTTTCTAATTTTAGCAACTTATACAAATCACGTGTATTCATATACGCAAACAAGAATTGCTTTATGATTTTTGATTTTATTACCTATTGGGTGTGTTCATATGTGTCATGTAATAGTATAAAATCATGAAATAAATGAATAAAAGAAATAGTAATTTTTGTTTGTGTATTTGAACATTCATATGACTTGTACTAATACATAAAGTTAAAAAATGTATATGTTGAACACTTACTTATACTTACAGAAAATATGCAGCCACCTCCAAGGTTCCCGATACCAAGGGTTGTACTAGATGTTGCGTGGGAAGAAACCCTTACAATGGTTATACGTATCTTTGTGGAGCTGTTCCTAATGGCTTGTTTCTTATGCAGTGGTACAATCCCCTCAACAAATTCATGTTGTTAAAGGTATGGAAATTCTATCACGTAATGTAAGTAACTCAATACAACACTAAGGAGTTGGATAACAAAAAAATTAGTCTATTGACTAGTAAAGTTTTGGCCTTAATGAATTGCTCCCAGCTGTTTACAGATTGGGATAATATTGTCTTTTATAATGAGACATTTTTCAGGTTGAACAACATCAAATTACTTAATAATATCTGGTTAAAGAAATGTCAGTGAGCATTAAAAACTTCCTTGACTTTTTTTTTATCCCTTGTACTGTGTAAAGTTTCTGAAGATGTTTGTCGTTTTTTTTTCAGTCTAGTTTTGTATCTAAATTTAGAAACTGAAAATTAATACTATTTATTTTACATATTGTTAGCTCAAGATCATTAATAATCTGTAGAACCTGGTGTCTGTATTTTATATCTGTATATTCTAGCTGTCTAGTTTTTTTCCACATTATAAAATAGTAATACACCATACTGGAATCACACAGCCATCATATTCAACCTTTTTGCTTGGGCTAGACTGTATTGGCCCCCAGTGGCACAGTGATGTGTCTGTGAACTTATAATGCTAGAAACCAGGTTTCCAAACTCGTGGTAGGCAGAACACAGATAGCCCATTGTGTAGCTTTGTGCTTAATTACAAACAAACAATAGTTAGACTATAGCAGAAATATAATTGGGTACTTGTAAACTATTGGCTAAACTAACATAATAAAGTGATTACTTCTAACAGCCTTTCACCAGATATTCAACTTGGTACTTGTCAAATACTTCTGTGGAACCCCTTGACAATTAAAATTTAACAGTACTAAAATAATGAACTATAATTAATACTGCACATGAAAATTATTACTTATTATAAATTTTCCAAGTAAAAAGCTTTAGTCTTATTCAATAACAAATTTAATTGAAGTTGTTGATAATTAAGGTTTCAGCTGACATATGAATTTTAAAAAAATTATACATTCTGACTTGTATTTTCTCATGATGTAGAATGACATTGACATTAATGGATAGATAATTAACCTACAAGTAAAGTAATATACTCTGGAAATGTCTTGCACACAAATTGTTAAGCAATATGAAAATTTTCTTCCTGCAAACTAAACCTCTTATACAGGACTAATTTAGTCAGAAAGAAAATACTCAGTTGGTAGTAGTTAATATCAAGAGGGAAGTATAATGTTCCCAAAAGTACCAGTGCCTGAAGTCTCTGCCATTTATAATGCTTCAGCAGGTTACAGTTATAAATCTATTTTTATACATTATTTTTTTTAAATTACTTTGAGAAATTAAATAAGACTATAAAGTTAAAACATTAAATTTGAGTTTGGTGATAATTCTAGCATTATGAAAGACATTATCACAGTTAATGAAATCAAACTCTTGTCACCCAGTATCACACACTGTTCCATTCTTTCTTTCACCTTATATCAGGAGAGAATAAATGCCTACAAGTAGTAGATAAATACTTGAGTTATTTATTCAATATTAATGCATTATCCAGTACTCAAATGTACCCCTGCTCTCTGTATAAAATATGTATATTGGTTTGCATATGAGATTGTTTAACATTTCTCTTTTCTTTTAACACCTCAGCAACGGGTGGATAAAAGTGTGCATATCACAAACTTTTGCACAATTACATTCAAAATTTAATTAAGCTACTTTATTATTAATGCATATAAATAAACTTGGCATCATAACATAGTTAATAAATCAAGTTTTCAGATTATATAAGTTTTAAGTTCTTAATTGTATAAGAAATTTTTTTTTAAAAAATCCTCAATCTCCCCTAGTATTGTGACATTTGCTGTCTAGGTCTTCCTTCTTCTCTGATTTATTTACCACTCCTCCAAGAGTGCATAATGTATTGTAAATTATTTATAATATAGATATCACTCAGGCAAAGCATAATTTTAATAACCTTCATTCTTGTTTGTTTATGGAGCCATAAACTGGAAAATCAGACCCACTTGCCACACCCATATATATCACATCCTCTCTTTCACAAATTGCAAGTAGTTCTCTGTGATATATAAGGTAATATAATATAACATTTGATAGATTAAAACTTTGGTTTTCTAGTGGTTGTAAATAATTTAGTATAAAAAATAAGTTGATAGATTAAAACTTTGGCTTTCTATTGGTTGTAAATAATTTAGTATAAAATTTTCAAATTTCGTTTGCATAACCCACAAGACCTCCTAAATAAAAATTAAAAAATTTTTCCAGAAAAACTTTATATTTTATCTATTATTTCCTATACTATAATTCTATACAGGGTTGATGGATTTGACTGATGTTGTAACCACCATAAAAAAAATTAGGAAACAATAATAATAATAATTCAAAACTGTCCTTTTTTCTTTCTGGAATGACTGCAACTTGTAATAGGAAACCACAATTGTTTATCCTAAGTAGATTAAAGCTTGTAACAGTATACATCTATTTATATATAATTTTATTGCCTTTCAAACTGTGTCTAACTAACAATCCTGCCACACAAGTTGTAAATCACTTGGTGAACGTGTAGCTCACGTTACTCTACCAAATCACATAATACACAGGCTACAAAGGAGCATACACTTCACAAGCATGCCTCATGAAGTATTTTTATTATTATTCTTTATCTCACCTAATCTAATCTTACGAGTTTCTAATTTTTACATTTTAGTTACTTTTATAATATTAAATAAAGAATACACAGGAAAAACAAAAAATTATAGTACTTATCTGGGTTGTTGTCTTATTTTTTTGCTATTGACTGTCAATGAAACTTAAGCTACTTTTTTTATACTAACGGTTCTATTAATTCTAGATAATTTTTTATTTAAGTAAATACTGCACCTAAGAACCCAGAATAACATGCAAAAAACAAACAATGTCTTATAACTATCATATCTTTTCTGGGTTTGTAAATGCTATAAGAGCTTTAAAAAATTCAGCTAAGCTTATCAATATGTTTCCTGTAAGAAAAAAATTTGAAACTGAACAATGAAATAGATAATGCCCTGTAAAGAAGGGAAGGCACTTAGTCAATAGTATTCCTTGCCACTCTTGGGCTACTCTAATTAAACAGTTGGATTTGACACTTACTCTTATGATGCACCCATGGCCCCAAAGTGTGGAGTGTGATTTTGCCACAATGTCATGCAAACCATGGTCTCCTGGATTCATAGACAAGCATACTAACTACTAATGCAAATCATATTAAGTATTAAAAGTTACCAGAAGAATTAACGATGGATATAATTTCAGATATGAAAGTGTCCCTTTCCTAAAAATCCTGAAAATAATCGAAGCCAAGTAAGGGGGGGGGCAGCACCCTCTAAATTTGTCAGTTCCAAAGTAATGATGGCTGGTCTAGAGAGCATTTGTGAAGCTTTGCTCAAACATCCAATACAAACAAAAAAAAGCTTTGACTTGACTGCTTTGGACAAAGTGAAAGATCTATTTTTCTGATTACAAGATAGACTAACTAAAAGTACACAATGTAATCAAAAAAAAATATTGTATCCCTTTAGTTAGTCTATCTTGTAATCAGAAAAAATATTGTATCCCTTTAGTTAGTCTATCTTGTAATCAGAAAAAAATGATTGTATCTCTTTAGTTAGTCATTCTTGTAATCAGAAAAAAATATTGTATACCTTTAGTTAGTCTATCTTGTAATCAGAAAAAAATAAGATAGACTAACTAAAGGGATACAATATAGTTGAATATTGAAAAGCATTTTTTTCCCCCCATCATGAATTTGCTAGTTAACTTCTTAGTCCCCATCAAGAAGGTTTTCATGCCATTATTGCTACATTGTCATTTTGCAATAACTAATGTCTGATAATATTATGGTGAGACTTGCTTTAAAAGCTACCACGATAAAAATAAAAAGTTCTTTAAACTGTAAGGCTGGTAAGCATGTATGTATATATATGTGTGTGTGTGTGTAGGAATAGTTTATTTTCAAATGGAACTGCAATAACCTCTATTAAATTAGGAAATGTGAACATTTAGTTATTAACCATTTTTATAAAGCTTTTGTAAAGGTTACCTAGAAAACTAATTCCTCTAAAACAGAACTTTTCTTTTTGTTCTGTTTTGATTATTCTTAGTCACTTAATTCTCATTGGTCAACTTCAGGTTGCTTACTCCCAAAAAGGTGTTATGTTTTCCAAAAGTCTATGTATTTAAATGAGAGTCATATTCTTTATAAAAACACTGAAAACATAAAAAATTTTCTTAGTAGTCCCAAATTTCTCATGAATTCTGTGAACTAGTACCAAAGATCCATCACGAATCAAAAGTTAACCCTATTGACACAGATCAAAGGCCATGTCATTGAGTTTGTTGACTTGCATTCCAAATTTTATTCAACAACTATATTATGAACTTATGTCAATAAGTTTGGTATGTCAATAAGATTATAATTCAAATTTTAGTCTTATATATTAGTTAATTTCTTAATTTAAAGGTAAATACTAAAAAAATGCACCTGAATATCGATTTTTGTGTCGCATGGTATGTTGAATGCAGCATTGGTTCAAATTAGATGTTTGTCATATCCAAATACAAAGTCTCTAGTTTTTTACGAATTAGGAACTCAAATTACCTATATTGACAAGCTAGAGTATAAAATAAGATTTGCTGAAATATCACTATATTTACTTACTCAAACACAGTGGCCATACCCACCTTTTTCCATTTTTGTACATGCTTACTTACACCTACTTCTGTCTATGACATGTGAATAACCAATCTAAAGCTCAGAACATCCCCTTAGTGGTTTTCTCAGCCCTTTGTAAATATATACAGATATGGAACTCTTTCTTTTTATATAAGATCTGAACCAGTAAGGTAAGATTTTAGTGAGCTTGAAATTTCATATTTTTGTTAGGCCCAAGTACAGCTTACTTATCAAGCTTGATAAGTTATAGTGGAATTCTATGGTATTGATATATTAATTTATGATTTTAGGTTATTTAATATATATAAAACCTAAAAAAAAATTACTTCATATCCTCCACGTGCTATATTTGGTAAGGCTTAGCTACCTACGGCATGCAGCAAATGAGTACAAAGTTTATAACTAGAAGAGATAATTGTTTGCTATACTTCTTTATTTTCTATTCTGTTTTTAAGAAAAATAAATATAAGAACTTATTTGTAAATAGTAATAATGTATATACACATATAATGTATTATAACTGAAATGTGACTGTATTTTCAAAGATACTAATCCACTAGAACACAGCCAAAACAGGTCACTTTGTAAAGGCCAGTTTTATATTCTTGGATATGGTAACATGAGTGCCTGTGCCCTGCATCATTGCAACTTCTGTAATGTTGGCCTGCTTTAATACATCAAAAATAATGAAAAACTAATGGTAAAATAAAGACCCAAGAAAAAAGCAACTTATGCTTTTTCTTTTTAAATGCCTATGACCTCAGTTGCTAGCCTCATTCAACATATACATTCCATGGGAGAGGCAGGTATGTATAGCAGTACTGCTACAAACCTTTCTGTGACTTTTGTCACATATGAAGCAATAAGTATAACCTTTTCACGATGGGCTCGGTATAAAATATACAAGTTCATTTGCACATGTTAAGTATTTATACTATAACATTTAATGCAGTAGACTTTTTGGTAGACTATTAGTAAACAATAAAATTCTTTTGTACACAAAAAAAAATCAATTTTTAAGGAAGTATTTTTACTAAAGGCTTGTTTGTGAATATATCAAGTCTGTTTCGTTGCTAGTCCAACTGCGAAGTGATTTTCATGTAATGATTAAAAAAACTATTCTTCATCCCAAAAATCTCATATCATTTGTGTTATCTCTAAAACCTCCCAAGTACATTTCAAACATTTGTTTTCAGTAAAACTTTATATTTTCTCTACAGTAACTCTATACAGGGTTGGTCAAATTGTTTAGTCTAAATTACTTAAATCTCATAGCATTTTCAGCCATGCTACAGATATGCACTACTCATAGAGTATACCTCAATAAGGAAATTTCCAAGTTCCTTGGAGCATGAGATGTCACTCATGATTTATTTAGATTTTATATTTGTTTAACAAGTAAGAACACTTTTTAGTGATAAATATAATTCTTTGGTCATTGTATAGGTTTTTAGCTATAGATCTTAAATGACTATGTATTTAGGAAGGGTCTATCTCTTCTATTACAGCAATTTGAATGTTTCCTGCCAAGTAACCTCTCGGTGTTTGAAATAATCATTACACCGGGCATGGAATACCCTTTGTTATGTGTAGGAGTCAGAAGAGGGTGAGTAAATAAGCAATTAATAAGGTTGTATCAAAAAGTGAAAAGTATTAGTGACGAATGGGAAGTTAAATATGGTGTCCTTAGCACTTTGATACAATAAGTTTTTATATTTCTGTGTGTCAGTCAGATTATTTTTCATTTGACAAACTGCTGCATAGTACATAGATGTATAGTTATTGAAGCTCAAATATTACAAAATATCAATTGAGATTAAAGATGTGTTTTTTTTAATATGCAGCTATAACAAAAGTTGTGCTTATAGATGTCATTTTTAGTTATTTTTCCAGATATCAATTAATTTTAAAGAGAATAAACTTTTTTTGTTTTTTGACGAAGCCCATTTGTAGCTAGGGATGTCATATCATTTATTTTTTAGTTCAACAAGGGCATTTAAATGAGATATATATTTGTTTCTAGGTATGACAAAGGCCATGTGAAGCTAGAGATGATTGACCTGAACTCTTCTGCAAATTGGTTTGAAGAACATGAGGATGGGATGGAAACAATCGTACCTCGTTATGATTATCTCAACATCACTAAAGTGACACATCTTGAAAAAGATACTATTTTAGTTTGTCATGACAGTAAGTGTTTTAACATGTTTTACCTATAACTCTCTCAACACGGGCTTGGTCTATTTGACTGGCTATGTGACCTCTTTGTATTCATTTAAAGTCTTTGTAGATTTAATACTTCAAACTTTCACTATAATGTGTATATCTTCACAAAATTTGGCAGTCTTTCACTTAACATTATAATTCTTTCACATACAAAAAAAATCATATTTTTTTAGTGAAGTACTTTTAATAAACTAAAATAAAGATTTGTCCAT